GTCAGGGTCTGGGCGCACACGGGTCTGGTCCTTAAAGGGTTAGGTGGTGAGCCAGCGACACAGGGAAGCACCCTATTTTTAGAGAGTGAAGAGAGCATTGTGATGAGGCAGGTGCAGGGGCCTCCAGAGTGGCCACCTCCCCATTGTGCTTCTGCAGTCTCTGCACTCTTTAGCTCTGTTTTCAGGTTGTCTCCCCATTGGTCTCGAGTTTCTCGAGGACGAGGACTGTCCCTTGCTCAAGGTTGAGTTCCTGGTGCTCACCAAAGCCCAGCCCAGAGCGGAAACTCAAAAGATCTCTGTCCCTAGTGGCACTACATAACTGTCTGGGTGTGGTGGCCCTGCCAGGGGCCTTTCAGTCTGGGCAAACCACAGGTCTGTCCCAAGGAAGTGCCTGAATCACCCTGGGCTGAAGGGCCAAGTATAAAATGTGTGTAAAATGTGGGCTACCATGCTGAACTTACATGTTTCACGTATCTCATTGGCTGTTTGTGTCCCCTGTTGTCTGAGTTGGGTTGTCCTGTTGCTTGTCGCTTCTGTTCAGATTTTGATAAGATGATCTTGGACCTCGCTTCAGTTTATACAACACTTCTCTGAAAGGTGTGCGCTGGGTTACATTTTCAGAGGTGATGGTTTCAAAGGCCTAGCTTTCTTGGCTGAGTATTTGCATTTTCTACTAAAAATGTCTAATGTGTTATAAATTTGACTTTTCTGTGCTTCAGCAGTAACATGATTTTAATACTAATGAACAGTCCGCATGGGCCGTCGGTGACAGCAGCGGCTGTGATCTCACCGGTGGAACCTGCAGCTCGGTGTCTGAGTTGTGATTGTGTGCCTTCCTGTGTTTGCCTCCATGGGAGGTTGTGCTGTGGCTGTGTCCATGTGTGTCTGCGTGTGCTCACAACTGCATATGAGTTCGAAGAACAGTGTGGGGATTTTGTGTATCTTTGTAAAGTGAGGAAAGTTCTGATGTATTTCAATTCCACAAATCTGCTATCAGTCTCCCAAGGGGTACATAGTTGAATGTTTGCTTCTTAAAGTGGGCATGGCAGCTCAGGCCTGCTGTGCTAGCAACTGAAAGGCTGAAATGAAAGGTCCTTGAGTCCAGGGTAGGCCTGAGTTGCACAGAGAGCCTGTTTCAGAGAAGCCCCCACTTACCCACCCATCCCCCAGAGCCCTAACTCAGTCTCATCAGCACATGGATTTCTAAATTTTGATGTGTTGCTAAAACTCATTTTATGTGTGACTCAGTTTTCTTCATACAAGAACCCTTTGCCTCAGCCTGTGACCTTCTCAAAGCTGCAATTTGGGTTCTATCACATGCCCTCAAAACAGACCCAGCCTACAGGGTGCTAGTGACCGACAGAGAAGTAACTGATTTTGTGGGGGAGACAAATGGAAATGCTACAGAACACAACAGGCAGTAATCTAGAAAGACCAAAATTGTGTCTTCCTGCCTCTGAATTCCTATTTAGCCAAGGGCCTCTATGTCTGTCTTTCTCTCTCTCTCTCTCTCTCTCTCTCTCTTACTCCCCTTCCACCTCCATCTCCCATCTCTGCCTCTATTTCCGTTCTCCACCTCCATCTCAGTCTCCATCTTCATCTCCACCTTCACCTCCATCCACCTCCACCTCTTCTCCGCCTCCATCTCTGCACCCAGCTCTATCACCTCCATCCTTGTCTCTGTCTTTAATCTCATACATCTTATAACTCTGCTTACGTTGAGCTCCAGTCCCTTGTGGCAGGATGGACAGAAGAGCTCAAAGAGTCAGTCTGCACTCACTTGTGCTGTCTGTGTCCCAGCCCCTTCCGGACAATGCCCCTGCTCCTCATCTTCAGACTCTTGCTCCCTGAACAAGTTTGCTCCCACAGTCCTCCCCAGAGGCAGCCCCATTTCCACCTCTGGCACTGAGCTTGCCTACCCCCAGCCTTCGTAGCTTCCTGCCTCTCTGGGCAGTCAACCCTCACCCCTCCTGTCCAGGCCAGCCCTGCTGGGGCCCCTGCCTGGCAGGACACCTGTAATGACTAAAAATAGGTGTTGCATAAAAGAGCAGTGAGACCCAAATGATGTCTGAAGCAGGAAATATAATGACCCTCCAAAAATATGGTCCTGGTGCTTCCCCAGGAGCCCAGCACTTGCTTCAAAGCCTCTGAACTATCTTTATTTTGCATTCAAACTATCTTTTGGGGCCAGGTTTCCTTCACAACACAGCTTATTGCTAAACGGATCTGAAGCCCTGGGGAGTTTATCTGTAGTTAGGGTTTCTTTTTTTCTTCTTTCCAGTAACCATGGGTCGGAGGTATTCCAGCAATTCTTAACTAAAGGACAACTCTGTTTCATGACATCTAATCAGGGGGACATCCCACTGGGAGGACAGATTGTGTCCTTTTTCCCCACTCTGGGCTTAGGAGATAAAGAGATAAAACTCATAGGTTGTTTTATTTTCTGAAAAATCAACAGTGTAGTCTTCTGGTGGAGGGAGGGGGATCCTCACGTGAGCCTGTTATGCATAGAGGCTGATGGGAGGCTGCCAGTGGGCTTGTGGGTGGAAAGGGTTGTGTCTACAGTGACTGCTCTTGTTCTGTTCTAAAAAACGCTCCTATTTCAGACCATCTGGAATCCTGGTAGTTCATATGAAAATGGAAAAATTTGAGGGTGTATGCCTGTGCTTTCCATGGGTGTCCTTATTGGTAGGATCTGGTTGTGTAGACCCCTGATTCCCTGATGTCCTCTTTGGTCCGAGATACTAGGCCAACCTCAGTTTGCAGCTGAGGAGGCCTGCAGTGATGTGTCAGGTACCTCCTCAGAGACTCATCCTCCTGCCACCAAAGCCGTGCCACGAATGCCGACGACACAGTTCTCAGAGACTCTGCTGAGCCTTTGTGAAGGGCAAAGGAAGCTTCCAGCTTCAGCCAAAGGCAAAACATTGAGCTTTATGGCTTCCTTTTCTAAACCCTTTAGCTGCAGCAGGAATCTCTCCTGCTTGTCTCCCGCTTGTTCTACACTTGTTAAAGACCCAGGGATTATCAGCAAAGGTCTGAGGAGTGAGCAGTCTTAGTTTGTCTTGGGATTAGATAGCAATAGGAATTGTAGATCCATGGAAAGACAGCAGCTTGTAGGCCACCACCTGGCCCCAGCAGCGCTCTCTGGCTTCCAACTTTCTTCACGTTTGCTCTTTTGCCCTGTCTGGGGCTCACAGTTTGTTTGGTCTGTGCCTCATCTTCTTTCTTTTGCCTTTCAGGGTCCCTTTCATTTATTTTCCTTTCAGTGATAATGGTGCCGAGGTTCTAGGACAAGACTGAGGCCAAGAAAAGTTAAGGTGCTGTGGGGCCTTGGTTACAATGCAACTGGGGTACTAACTTCCCCTTGGGGAGTCACAGTGGCTGCGGCATCCATACCCAGAAAGACTCATTTCCATTGTCAGCTTGAGTGGGGTATACTGAGGCACAGCACTGGCTGTGTCCGTGGGAACATTTTCAGGGAGGATTAACTAAAAGGGGAATGCCTGACAGCAAGTGGCACAATCCCATGGGCTTGGGTCCTGAGCCAAATATGAATTGAGAAGGGGATAGTGAGTCAGGCACTACTACTATTGAGCTGTACAGACAGCAATGGGAGAAGCCCTCACAGCTGTACCTTCCCCTTGACAGACTGTGTCTTCAGAACCTTGAGTCCAAACACCCTCTTCTTCTGTAGGCTGCTTGTACCTTGACTTTTCTTTATCTAGAATTTCTTCTCTTCCAGCAGCTGCCTCTAGCTCAGAGCTTAGGGCTTTCGCTTTTCTTCATTATTTTATTCTGCTTTTTGTTAAGAAGAGGTTTCATTACGGCGTTTTTCAAGTGACGTTCTTTCCATGCTGTTTCTCTCTCCCTCTTCTTCCCTGTGCCTTCCTCCTTGTGTCTTGTCACCCCCAGCAGCACCCTTTCCACTTTCGTGTCACACAGGACCTACCTTTTCCCTTCAACCTCTTGATCCGCTCTTGAGGTCTGCGGTCCAGCACCACATTCCAGTCCCCTCTTAGAACCCGTGTTTACACGTGCACAGGCATCATGATTTAGTACATGCTGAAGAAGACACAAGGTATTTGTCTTTCTGAGATGGGGTCATCTCACAACGTAATACTTTCTAGTATTATATGTAATAAATTTCACTTTCTTGGATTTTCATAATTTCGCTTTTCTTAACAGCCAAGTGAAATTCCACTGTGTATATGTGTCACATTTCCCTACCTGTCCTCCTGTTGATGGACACCTAGGCTGGTTCTGTTTCCTGCCTGTTATGAATAGAGAAGCAATAAACATGGCTGAGCAAGTGTCTCTGATATACAGTTTAGGGTGTAAGTTTCAAGCCCCCTGAGCAGACCTGTTTTCACTGGTCTGTCAGTCACAATCACCCAGGTCCCTCTATTGTCATTCAGGGTTTGGCTTGTAGTAGGAGTGAGTGTCTGTTCTCCAAGCTGTGACACACAAGTTCTTTCCATTCCCATGATCATGAGTCTCTGTCAGAATTGTCACCCAGGCTTTGGCATTTCTGTAAGTGACCAGCAATGGTGCAGCTCTCAGATATGCAGATATGCAGATATAACATACCTCATCTCTTACCTGCTGGTTTCAGGGGCAAGAAACACCTTCTGATGGTCTCAGCCCAGGTCAGGCTGGAGCCATGTCTTGGTGAGCATGAAGGATGTGGACTTGGGTGATGAATCCGTGGCTGAGGACTTTTAGAAAAGTCAGCGAGCCACAGCGGCTAGCTCCTCCAGTCTCAGAGCTCAAGGTTTGTTAGAGGGATGGGGAGTGCTCTGAGCTGCAGAACAGGCCCATCTGCAATGTTCGTGCAAAGCCTTTTATAGTACATCATTACCATACACAGACCACTGGCACAGCAAGTGGCCACTTAGGCCCTGGCACCCACTGTGTAAACTGAACCTCGGTTCTGCCATTTCCTCGGGGAGTCTTAACTTTCCTGCCTATGAAATGGGGATAATGATGTTTGTATCTTGCAGGGTTATTGCATGGATGAGGTGAATGAGCATTGAAAGATGCCTGGAAAACAGTCACTGTTAAAGAGACATATGTCCCTGGAATGGAAATGACAACATTGACATTGAAGAATATCAGTGCCTCAATGATGGTTCCTTTTGCCTCTTGTGTGTGACCTGAGCACAGAGCAGGGGCTCCTGGTGGCAGGACCCAGTCAGTGGCAGCTTTAGGAAGCACTTGTGGCTTGAAGGCAGAAGACTTTGTGATGACTCACATTGCTTAAAAAACCTCATGTCAATGATTCTAGGTGCTTCCTACAGATGAGAAGCTAGAGGCTTGGAGAGACCGACAAAACCATGCAGTGGGGCCAGGACCTGAAGCTGGTGTCTCCAGCAGTCACATGCGTGGTTGGTGTAACCATCACGGCATGTTCTGGTCTTCCTTTCCCTTCTCCGGTGAGTTCCTATTGTCCCTTAGGAATTTTATGTGTGGTGTCAACCCTGACTGAAGTGTTCTGATACCCAGAATTCTTGTGCCACACACCAGCCCAGCTTCAACAAGCTACTGACCACGGCTAGGTTATAAAACTAGGGGATGGTTCCCTACCCAGTTCAGTTCAAATAGGAGGTTCATTCACATTGGCATTCATCAGATATAGGTGCTCTGCAGTTTTCTTTATGAAATAATTTAGGAAACATGGTTAAACAGCAAGGAGCTTTTCCAGTGAAAGCTTGGTCAGTGTGGCAAGCAGTCAGGGCTTGTTTTTCCCAAAGCAGACCAACCGTTGAACTTCCAGAACTGGCACACCAAATGCTGTTCTTCAGAGAGAAGACCTCAGCCTCAAGGTCCTGCCTAGCTCCCACGCCCTCTCCTAACTTTCCCATGAGGTTCATCCATGGTAGGGTTGATTCAGGATGGAACTGCCAGCTAAGGTGGGGAGGGCATGCTGAAGCCCCCAAGCATTTCTGTGACACTGGGGTCTCTGCCTGCATGCACAGGGAAGGCTTTATGAAACCTTTGCAATTGTGAGACACTGGGCTGGCTTGGCATGCCATTCAGAAGATACCTTTAGGTAAAAGGAGAACACAGAAGGGAAAGGGAAGCAGACACTCAGATCCAGGCATCTCACTGTAAACCGGAGGGGCCCATGATGGGCCCATGAAGCGTGTCACTCACCTGGACATAGCTCCCTGAGGTTTGGGTTGCTCTCTTTAATTCCATGGGCCAGCTCTTCCTGCTTCCTGGGACCGTATTGGGAGCAGAGTAGAAATCATGCGATCTCTGGCCAGCTCACCTACGGACACACACATGGTTGACAGTGGGTACCAGAGGCGCTTGCTTCCAGCTTACACATGGCCCCATGGACAGGCTACCATTCACCCTGTAGGCTGACCTCTGAAGACAATGCCAGGTCTCAGTTCCTTACCCTCTACTGAAGCCTTGGGCTCGATCTTAGCATGTGCTTATTGTGGGGCTGGACATGGCTCAGCTGGTGGTGTGCTGGCCACACATCATGGGGAGGGGGTCTGAGTTTGAATCCTGAGCACCCACATACATTTCTTGGCACGATAGTGCAGGTTTGTAATCCTGTTGCTAGTGGGTAAGGGCAGGAGGATCCCTAGGGTTTCCTAGCCAACTAGCAAACTCCAGGTTCTGGGAGACCCTGTCTCAAAACACAAGGTGGAGAACAATGAAGACACCCAGTGTTGACCTCTGGTCTACACATCCATATGCACATACATATTCAAACACACATCTATGTGTTAGTGCACACACCAAAGCACTGGCCCATTCCTAGGTTGCTTAGCAACCTGATGTCATCACCTACCTCCACCAGGTGTGTGTGCACCAGGTACAAAGGACAGGCCCATCACTTCATACTCTCTCCGCCTCAGTTTCTCTCTCTTCCCTGAGGGCCCTCCCTTCCCATCTCCCTCTCATTGTCTTTGTCTGTCCCTCTAACTCTCTGTTTGCTTCCCTCCCCACTCTGTATGTATCCTCTTTTCTAAGCTCTCCCACTGTCTATGCCTCATCTTTTCCATAATAAACTTTCCAATACCACAACCTGTTGCATATCATGTAATTTATATATTATTACAATAGGAACTCACACCTATGCATGCATACACATTCGTATACATACCTAAATGCCCATACATGATCACACACACACACACACACACACACACACACACACACACACACACACTGAAGAAGATGACCACTGAGCATCTAATGAAGGAGTGAGAGGTAGCCCATTGTCCATGGTGGAAGCACATTTTAAAGGCTGCCTTGCTGTTCTCAGGGAATCTTTAGTTCACACTGGAGAATCCATCTCTAGATGCCATGTAGGATGGACACACAAGCTGTTGGCAGTTCAGCATTTTATGTGTGATTAAAAAATAAAGATGTGACCACCAAGCAGAGTGAGAGAACCGAAGGATGTGGAGGGAGAATAAAGATTTTGTTTGGATAGAAAGGCCCGAATGAGCCCAGCCTTTGGCATTTCTCAACCTGTCCTCTCTCTTAGGCCGCTTGGGTAGGGTTTTTAACAGAGAGCCTCGGGATGAGGAGAAGCTATCTCCCCAGCACAGAGTTCCCCCGCTCTCCAAAGGGAAGGCAGATTTGGAAAACTGGCACTGCCTCCGCCCAGATGGCAGCCAGCAGCTGGCTCTGGCAAGGGGAAGTTCTCACTCTCTGCTGCTGGCTGCCCGGCCCCTCCCGGCTTCAGGAAAGCAGGCCTGGCCATAGGAAAGACAGCCTGTGAGAGCCAGCCCTGCCAGCCGCTCCCCACCACCCTGACCTGGCTGCTCTGGCTCTGGCAGGCGAGGAGCCGGGGGCCAGGCCCAGCCACTCAGCCAGCAGCCTCGGCCTCCCCACCACCCTGACCTGGCTGCTCTGGCTCTGGCAGGCGAGGAGCCGGGGGCCAGGCCCAGCCACTCAGCCAGCAGCCTCAGCCTTCCTCTTCCTGCCTCAGCTGCTGGCTTGGCACCATGGTGTCTCACGGAGATGGGTCTGTGGAGGAGGGACAAAGGGCAGCGCTGATTTCAGAGAGCGGCCTGGCCTTGAAACCATGAGCCTCCAGATGATCAGGCCAGCCTGGAGCGCCCAGCCCCACTCCAATACCTCTGGCTTTTAGTGGGTCTATGTGGCCTCCCTCTGTCCCTCTCTCCCTTCCAGTCTTCCTTTTCCATTTCTTTTCTTTCACTCTTTCTGTCCTTCTCTTTCTCCTTTCTCCACTCCCTCTTCCTGCCTTTGCCTCCTTCCATCTTCTCTCCCGCCTTCCTTTCTTTCTGCCTTCTTTCTTTTTCTCTTTCTTTTCTCCTTCCTCTCCTCCCATGATGCATTTCTCCTACTTCCCTGACCCTCTCCTTCTCTTCTGTACTCATTATCTAGTTCAACTAACTACCTGTTACACAGCTACAATTGCACCTCTAGGTTCTAAGCTTACAGGCCAGTGAAGGTGCCTTGAATTGGGATTGTTTTGTAACAGCTGATATCTATGGTGGATGAGCTACACACACACACACACACACACACACACAAACACACACACACACCTCACTAGTATGGAACCGTGGCCCACATTAGGGGTTGGTTGTTTTGTTTTGAATAAATTTTTTTTCTCACTTATGTACCTGGGGAAAGATTTAATATGTATATCTGCTGAAAAATGGAAGGCTGGCCTTTGGATTTAGGCCTGCTTCTGGCTGGGACCACAAGGCTCCAGCCACCAGTTATTCTACATGATCCATCCACCTACTCTGAATTTCCAGGTGGTTTTAGACTCAGATGCTACAGTGCAGATTTGTGGAGAGAGAGAATGAGACTGCAAGAGGGAGGGAGAGGGAAAGAAAGAGAGAGAGGTGAAGAGAAGAAGAGAGTGGAAGAGAGAGGGAGAGAGAATGAGAATGTAAGAGGGTGGGAGAGGGAAAGAAAGGCAGAGAGAGAGGTGAAGAGAGGAAAAGAGCAGAGAGCAAGAGGGAAAGAGGGAGAATGAGAATGGGAGAGAGAGGAAAAATAGAAATGGAGAGAGGGGAAAAATGAGAGAGGGGGAAGGAGAGTAAGAAAGGTAGAGAGAGAAAGAGAGAGGGAGAGAGAGGAAATTGGAAAAGAAATGGAAACAGAGGAAAGAGGAAGAGTGAGAGAAAAAAGAAAAGAGATGGAGAGAGGGAGAGAAGGAAATAGAGGGGAGAGAGGGGAGAAAAGGAGATAGAGGGACAGTGGAAAAGTTTTGGCTTATTAGCCAGCTCTCTGTCACTGTGAAAAACATACTTAAGGTAATTTACATATAAGGATAATGGTTTGTTTTTGTTTCAGAAGTTTTACTGCAGTCAGTTGACCCCATTGCCTTTGGCTGTGTGGAGAAGCAGGACGTGATGGTGGCATGGATGGCTCTTTTCATGGCGGCAGGAAGCACAGAGAGCAATGAGAAGGACACACTCTGCTGACTCAACTTTCTTCCATTAGGCCCCACCTTCTTCAGACCGCTGCCTCCCAGCCATGGCACAGGCTGGATCCCTTGGGACCCTTCAGGCAGTGTGCAGCTTCTGCTCACACATATCTTCTCCTAGGATGCTTTTATTTGAGGGACCATCCTCGGTCCTAGTGCAGGGTGCTCACACCCTCCACTGTCATTCCTCCTGAGGTATTTTCTGCATATCATGTCCCTCCCACAGTCAGAGACGTACACATCTAACCCAGGAATCCTCCCTGGCAGGTTTTGGTGTGGTCTGAAACTTTCCCTTTGAAGATGAAAGCAGCTGTGGTTCCAGATGCTGAGCCTCCCGGGTCCTCAGCTCCACAAGGTGTCTTGTGTCTTGAAACGCAGGTTTCTCATATGGGAACTTGAGGAAGGTTTGAAGACACAGTTGGTCATTAGCGTCACCTGCGGTAACGTGATTAGCATGAGTGGTTCAAGGCTGAGGGCGATCTTTAAGAACACCAGCAGATCCTCACAGCTGGAGGTCTGCTGCCCAGGAGAGACAGTCCAAGCACTGTTGTCTGAGCTAACGAGAAGGTCAGGGGTCCAGCGTCACTTGAGATAAATTACTGAAGGAGAGCAACTGGCCCAGAGCGTGGCTGGATTTCTTGAAAAGAAACTCACCACTGTTGTGTGACTCACAGAAGAGGTTTCCTCACAGGAACACACACAGGTTCACACAAGCTCTCGTCACGGTAGCCTTGTTTCTGTCTGGTTGGGTGTTTTTTGGTTTGTTTGTTTGTCTTATTGGCTTAATTAAAAATAATATAATCGTTGGGAACAAGTAAAAGAAACTTATTCTAAGCACTACCATTTATTTTTCAGACCCCATTTAATCACAGGAAGAAACTAAATTCAAGGTCCCAGGCCCTAGGGGAGCTGGGGACTTCCCAATAGCTGAACCGCTTCTGTTGTAAGGAGACAGTTGTCTGAGTCTAGACATCTCAAGCAAAACTTGTAAAGAGACAGTTGTCTGAGTCCAGCCATCTCAGGGACAACTTTTCCATCTTGCTGGCAGGGTCAAACTAGTTCATGTTCCCAGGCCCAGGAATGAGCTCCTACCCTGACTGATGGACACCCCCTTGCTCAACCCCTTATGTCAGATTATGACTGGACAATGCTACAGCCCACCCTGCTCCTCCTCGCTTTATGGTTTCCTCCTTTAAATATGCTGTACAACATCCTTCAGGGTCGCAGTTCGGCTCCTGAGTCTGTTCTGTGGCCCTGATCCACCAGTAGAGTCTTGATTACCATACATGTTTGTCATCTGCATTGACCCGTGTTTGAGTCATGTTAGATTTAAGCGAATCCCATAACACTCCTAATCTCCAGTCTCTGGATGCGTGGATCTGTTTTGTGGGTCTTTTCCAGAATACTCTATGGAAAGACCCATTGCAGAGCCTGTTGGATCTGGTTTCTCTCACCTAGCAGACTGCCTTGGGATGTATCCGTGCTGTTGAACGTGTGAAGTTTGCTCCTTTTTCATTGCTGACTGATACTCCATTGTTTATCTGTTCACTTGTCGAAGGCATGTAAGGTTCCTTCTGAAGTATGACAGACATTTCTGTGGAACAGTTATGTGGCATGTGTTTATCTCCTTTAGGTACATATCCAGGCATGAGTTTCCTGAGTCCTGGGCTCCATGTTTTCTTACCATTGCCAGAAATTCACAAAAGGCACTGTGCTGCAATCCAACTGGGAGTTTGTGAGAATTCCATCTGTCCCACATGCTTGAATTCATCATGGCCAAATTTTGAGAAACATTTTTAACATTTCAAAGGGGCCATGAAGGCCTTCTTAGTTTTGTGCTTCTGAAAGATCATAGACGCTGGCCTTATCACCTAGCTTTTTTTCTCCACCAATGGTGCTGATCTTCATTTCTGTATTATCTTCTAGAAAGCGTGTAACTTGAGGATTTCTATTTACCTTCATGTCTATGACCCTTTTGAATTTATCTGTGGATATAATATCTATCCAGGTCCTCTCTCTTCCATAACACCCCCCACACACACACACCGAGGAATAGTTTATGATGACCTCTGACCTACAACCCCGGCCCTTCCCTTTCCTTCCCTTCCCTTTCTTCTCCCTTTCCCTCCTGCCCCTTCCCCCTCCTTCTATATAAACATCCAATTGTTTCAGTCCCATTGGTGGAAAGGCAATCCTTCTCTATTATAGGCTCCATGTCTTGTCAAGTGAACAGCTCATCTTTCATGGTCTCTATTGGGGCTCTTTGAGAGGGCTGTTTCTAGCATCTCCTTCAATGTTCTGTCTTCCACAGGAAGTCTTCCTATAGGGTGAGGAGTGGCTTGTGTGTGGACAGGGCTGCTCAGCACCTGACTGGGCAAAAGAAAAGCAGTTTTGTCCTGCCGAGATGAGGACTAACTTCTCTGTTATTTGCAGTACATCTTCTGTGTCTAGGATGTCTTGATCTTGAAGAAGTGAAGGTAGAGTTCTCTGAGCAGGGCTGTGAAGAGTAATGAGGGCCCTGTCTGGGGGAGGGCTGGGGGTTAGCCTCATGAGCACCTAGGTAGGTATTTGTACAACTCCTGTTTTACTTTGTAGGGAAGACAGGCTAGGGGAGTGGAGGTAGTTATGAGAACAAGCATGCTGACAGACTTAAATTCTGTGGTGTGTGTGTGTAAATAATGTGTATATTGAGGCCAGAAAATGATCTCAGCTGTTGTTCCTCCTTCAAGCAGGCAGACATATCCCCCAGCCCTGCCATCAATCCTGGCTTTTCTGTGAGTTCTGGGGATCAAACTTCAGTCTTAGATCCCGCTGCTTACAAGCCAAGAACCTCAGCAAATGGGTTGTCTCTGGAGCTGAGTTCCTTGATGGAGAGCTCGATCTTCTTGGGTAGGCTAAGATGCTGCTCACATCCGTCTGTACCAGCCGCTCTCTCCCATTGCTTGCTTACTTCCTGCTGTGGGGTCAGACACAACTCAACAGAGCATGTACTTAGCATCCAAGTCCCCATTGCATTCCTTCTTATGAACACGATTGTTTTCCCGTTCTGGAATGTGTCTCTGTATCTCAGAGACGCTTTCTACCATGCCACTCATTTCTGATTTTTCATGGCCTTAAAACCGCCATCTGGAGCAAGGCTGGGAAGGGCGCTGCAAGATCCCTCTGCAGGCTTTGGCCTCAGGCCTGCCACCCAGGGCCACGAGAAGCAATTCCATCTCTCTCAGAAAGCTTCTTGGAGCCGTCTCCCCATCTTTGGCAGCTTGACCTTTTGTGCAGGCCCAGCTTTTCCTCCAGGGAATCTACCCCCTGTTGATGGACAGTCACCCTTAGAACACTGGGGAAGGTTTGAACCCTAAAAATGATTTTGTGTTTCTGACCAAGCTTGCTTTGTAAATCATGCTAGCATCTCTAGTCTAAATACCAGCAGTGGAGACAGCTTGTGATTAACCTCTCCCCTCCAAGAAGCAGCCAGCACCAATGATTCTTCCTTCTAGAACACTGTAACCAGTTTTTAATAAAGCCAAAAGACTTCTGCCCAGAGTCCTCTGGTCATCTGTTTTCCTTAATGGCCTTTTATGAGGGACCTTATCAAAAGCTTGCAAAAGAATCTAAGTAAATTATGTTCCTCCGTTCACCTTTACCTACTGTTTCATTAACTTTTTCAAAAACAATATGACATAGTTTTCAACATAATTAAAGGGGTTGGGAAAAGGAACTTTAAGTACCGTTTGACAGTTTGTGATGCTGCCCTGGAGAGCCAGGTCACTGCTCAGCTCACATTCTGCCTCTGCTCTGGGACACTAATTCATTTCCCAGGCTGTCTGGCGAGGTCAGCCACAGGTTCAAGGTGGAAATGACAAGGTTTCAAGCTTTCAAGTGTGTAGCACTTAGCTCTCCAGACGGTCCAAAGGAAGGAAGCAGCTAGTTTATCCAGGTCTGGCCCAGAAAAAGGAAACTGGGGGAAGAACTGGGTGGAAGGGAGAGGGTGGTGTCCCCACCAAGGGGAAAATCCTGGGCAGGTTTGCAGACATTTCCAAGTGCTCTCTGTGCTCTTGTAGGAGGAGGAGAGGAATTGGTGGCAGAAGCTGGGAAAACCCTCTGCTCTCTATGGGAGCTAAGCAAGGCCAGCGGTGAGGATGGCAGTGCTACCTGGGTAAGCTCATAGTAGGAGTGGCCAACGTAGTAGAACAATCTTGTCTCCACCCAGTCATGGTGACACTTGGGAATGCCCCCTGGGTGCCACCATGGATTGTTTGAATATACACACCAGCCTCTTTTAAGCTGGCAGTCCAGCTTGATAGCTGGCATTATCCTCATTTATAAACAAGAGAAGAGAGGAAATACAGCACGGAGTGCTTAAAGGCCTTGGTGAAGACTGTCCATCTGAGGACAGCAGCCCGGCTTAATCCATTTCTCCTTCTGAAGGGCAGGATGCTCATGCTAGCAGCTGGTCAGTTCTTAGCTTATTCAGGGGCTGAAACCACCCACAGGACAAGCACACTGGGCAAGGAGATATTCTGAGCATTCTGAAGATGAAGTACTGGTTTTTGTCAACCAAGTGTCATTACTCAACAGCGAGAAAAATAGGCCGATGCCGTTTAATTCACGATAATGACTCACAAGGCCATTCCAGGTGCTGTCCTCACTGCGTCTTTGTGAGGCTCCATTTTCTCTGGCCTAAGAATTTGGAGGATTACAAAGGATGCTGGCTGACAAAATGCTGGCAGGGTTGGCTCTGCGTGTAGGAAGGAGCCAGTAAGGAAGAATGGAGAAGCTTCCGTTTCTTTCTGGCTTACTTCTCCATTTCCACTGGCCCTGTGCCTGCTTTTCCTTATGTCCAAAAAATTGGTCCATTTTTAGCCTTTTCTATGACTCCAGAAAACCGGTCTTTATTGGCCACCACATGCTCCACACTGTATGGGATGTGATGCCTGGAGTCGGAAAGCAGTTTTGTTTTAATGGCATGGAGTAACTGTGTGTGTTTACAGGGCTGCAGTGTGATATTTTGATACAGGGATTCTGTTTGAAGTGATCAGATCAGGGCATGCAGCACACTCCCATGTTAAAATTCTCCCTTTTACTACTTTGTTGCAGTCTCACCATATCTGCTGTCAGACCTCTGTCTATCGTCTTCAGCCTCATTGCCTTGAGACCAGGTCTCTCCCTGAGGAGCATGTGCCCTCGTCCACCAAGCCATCTCCCTAGCCGACTACTTCTCCCACTTAAACATAACCATTGTTGCCAGTTGACCTCACCTGGTCCCAGCCTCTAGCTGGCATTGTTCTCCTCTCCTCTCACTTCTGTGAGTTCAGTCTCTTTAGACTCCGCACACAAGTGAGACCTTGAAAGCGTCTTAAACAGCATCTTTCTAGATCCGTGTTTCCCCCAGGATGCTCTGGCTGGCTGTCATGTTCCAAGTGGTCAGGGTATGTGAGTCTTGTCAAATGTGCAGAATCTAGGGAAACAGAGTGGTGCCTGAATGCACAATGCCTGGACAGGCAGCTCAGAATTGGGAGATCTGGGAAGATCTTGATTTGGAAAGACAATGTCCCCTCAGACCTAGACCTCAAGAGGCCAAACCACCCAGGAAGCACCTAGAGCTTTTCTTCACAGAGCTGCTAATTGAAAAGAATATGTCACCAAAATCATGGAATGCCTCAGACTGGGAACTAACAAGAGAGATATCAAGGCTCTTGTCTGGGAGACGAAAAGCCTGTACTGATGGTTCTCACTGGGGTCCCCTAAAGCCAGAAGCTGGCATTCTGAAGAAACATTTCTAGATCCATTTTCAGGGGACAGTTGACATCCACCCTGTGTGGCTATGGACTATGTGGCCATAACAGAGTCTGGAAGATGCACTGAAACAGAGGGAAGGAAGGAAGGAAGGTTGGACTAGGGGCATGTCTGCATGTCTTGCTCCAAGCCTTAGTGGTCTCAGATGAGCTGACTTCGACACTCACCAGAGTTTCCCTCCCTGTGTCTGTGAAGCAGGAACAATGCCCAGCCATTCTGGGTTATCGGGTAGTGTGAGCACAGTGCTCCACACTAGCACACGGATCCTCCCTGTGAATGTCTTGATTTGCTATAACTCAAAATGCCAAATATACATCACTAGGAAAACAGTGTGCATGGCTTTAAAATATCAGTTTTTAGAAACATGCATGGCTCGATGGCTTTCCCCCAATTGGACTCAAGACATGAAAAGAAAAATCATGTAATTTAGTAACAGAAGAAATGATAAATCTATAGTGTTTATGTGACATTAGGTGTATTTCTATCCAACCCAACATTCATAATTTAAAGCAAGGACAGGGTCTCTCTGTGTTTGACTAGTGACTTTGCACCATGACTACATTCTGGAGTTAAAAATGATGTGCCGAGTAAGAAGTGTAGAAAATTTTATCTTCTCATAGCCATCCATCCATCTCTCTATATATCTGTTTATCACCTATCATCTATTTATCTATCACCTCTCTCTCTCTCTCTCTCTCTTCTCATCTATTATCTGTTTCCCAATATCTATGAAGGCATAATCTATCACATCTATTAATCCATCATTTCTATCTACATATCCTTTCTATAATCAGTCATTTAATCAATCTATCTATCTGTCTATTCATGCATTATATCTATTACAAATGTATGTATGTATTTATGTATGTGTATATACATCTATTCACCTATCCATCCATCCATCCATCCACTCACCCACCCACCCATCCACCCACTTATCCATCCATCCCCCATCCATCCATCCATCCATCCATCCATCCATCCATCCAACCATCCATCCAACCATCCATCCATCCATCCACCTGCCCGCCCACCCACCCACACATCCGCCCATCCACCCGCCCATCCATCCATCCAGCCAGCCACCTGCCCACCCACCCACACATCCATCCACCCACCCACCCATCCACCCGCCCACCCATCCACACATCCGCCCATCCGTCCACCCACCCACCCATCCACCCACCCACACACACATCCACCCACACATCCGCCAATCCACCCATCCATCCGCCCACCCACCCACACATCCATCCACCCGCCCACCCACCCATACATCCGCCCATCCACCTGCCCATCTACCTCTCTGAGGCAGATTTACAGAGTCACACTGTGTAGCCCAGGCTGGCTTGGAACTCTCAGCCTTCTGCCTGTCTTAGCCTCCTGTGTGCAGCAATTATAGGCTATCTTATTTGTTGATGTTGCTTCTTATCTTGCTACAAACCCATACCCATCACTGACAGGAGGTGGAGGGATCAGTTAGTACTCACAGATAATGCCCGTAGCCAGATCCTGCTCTTCTTGACAACAGCGTCTAAAAGCTGAATGCTCAGTCTTCCCCCAATGATCTTCTCTTTCCAGAGTTGTCAGCTGGATGGGCTTGCATTTCCTCACAGTGGTTGTGGCCTTCGCTATAGAATAGGTCTTTCTCTGCAATGCTGGCTATGGAGCGGCTTCTTCATCTTGGCTTTTGAGATTTGTGCACACTCCTGAGTGTGGTTCTGGCCATTTGCCTCTGTAGAAGCCATATGCTCTGTGTGCATTTTATTCTATCTCCAGATCCCATAGTTTTTCTTCTCTACCATGACATTCTGCTGTAGGAACATTTTGGACTACCGGACCCCATGTGTATCACACATAGGTGTTAGGAAGCCAGGTTCTCTACTGCATCCACCTCCACTGGACCTCTGCCTAAAGACCTTACCTTACCTTCAAAGGCGCCTCTTGCTGAAGAGTCAATGTGAACATGGGCTTCTCTAGAAGTTGGGTATTGAGATTCCCAGTGTGTCCACCAGGGAGAAAGGAAAGTCAAAGTGTGGAGAACAGGGACAGGGCTTTGGGCCATCAATGAAGTTGTTCTCTCGGCTCGATGGCAAATCTTCTCTTCCCAATAGGGAAGTGATTTTATGCTGCTTAAGTTTCTGCACTTTGATAGCATCATGTATCACTTCACTTATGTAAATGAGGCTTTTGAAATCGAGGCTTCTTTTTCTCCAAAACTTAGCTTCCAAGAATATAATTTGCTTTAGCACAAAAAAAAAAAATCTTATTTTGATGGTAAGTATTAAATAACACTTTCTTTTCAGCCTGGTGTTATTCACTACCCGCAGACTGAGAAATGTTGATTCCATGAATAAAGCCCTCAAAGGGTCATAAATTAAGGAGAAGAGTAAGTACATCCCACGTTAATGTGAAATATGCAGTAGCACACAACGGTAGAAACACACACTTACACACACACACACACATATCTGTTAGGTATGAGCCAGCCTGGTCATCCGCTGTCACCTGCTTGTGCAAAATTTAAGGATGGCAGATGCTTGTGCGGAGTCTATAACAGCAGTACTTAGAGAAATGTCTACACTGAAACGCCAGATGTTTCAATGGAATGGCTGATTTTTCTGGTTATCTTATTTCATCATTTGGTCATCTTTGAATTCCTTTCTTATGATTTTATACAAACTTCCTGCAAAAGTTATCAGTAAACGTGGATGCTGCGTCCTGACAGTCTCTACCCACCCACA